AGGACAAACACTCTTACAAATGAATGCATCAGACCAAAGCCGTCCATCCTCCCTTCTTCAGAACTTACTACTCTATGTGTCTAAAAGACTAAGAGGTTGTGTAAGGTTGCACTTGCACAGTGATGCTTGCAGCTAACTGGCAACATTTGCATGCTAACATAGTGACAGTTAGCAGGTATAATAGTATAATGCAAGTGCACCATCTTAAGTTAGAGAGATAGCATGGTAACACTGGCAAATAAGTACTAAATGAGCACAGCTAAGACTGCTGGAAGTGGTCAATGCGCAAGTATATGGTCAAAAATCTAATTATTATTATTATTATGTTACTATATGAAAGGCCTGGAGATCAAAGTTATTACAGTTCATTCTCTGGGAACCATGAATGTCTGTAACAAATTACAATGAAATGCACCCCATAGTTTTCTAGACATTTCACTATGAACCAAAAGTTCCAGCCCATGAAAGGTCAGAGTTACAGCTCATTGTCTGAGAAATATTTGTACCCAAATCTGAGCCAATCATATTTTCCTAAACATGTGACAACCTTCACTTGCTGGTGGTACTAGAGGATCTAGTTATTAGAATTAGTTTTAATTATAATTACCTTGTGTCTTGCCCAGTAATTCCACACATTATATAAAACATATGACTAATAATATGCACTAAGTTACCTACAAACGCAGCCTGCAACAAGATGAACAGTAAGGCATCTGACCTTACAATGGGATTTTCTCTCTGAGAACAGAAACTGACTCTTTGTCTCCTTCCTGGTCTCTAATGAATTGGTTTTAGTCCATTTTGGAGCAAATTATCCTTCTCTCTCCCCCTAACTTTCCAATTTGCTGTATCATTTATACCTAATTGAGGACCACACTGGGCTGTATTACTCTCACAAATAGGGTGATATAGTTTATCGAAGGTCTACTTTATAAAGAGGGGCTCTTAAACCAAACATCAATTGTAGAACATACAGAAGATGGGGATTTTTTCCAGAGGCTTGGGAGCATTGCAAAGAGGCTTTAATTATTTCTCAAAGGCAATCCCAGCCATTGCTCCACTGCTTATTTTATGGTCACTTTCCTTTTATTTCTTTCATTGGAGGTAATGAATGGGGTGAGGATTTATCCCTGCTTTGACACCCTTCCTGGTATTCGCATCTCATATTCATTTAACCAAATAAGCAAGGCTTGTTTAGAACCTGCCCAGGCCAGGTCCAGCATAGGAATGAATGACGGCACAGTTCAGGTTAGTGCCTCCACTATTAGTGTTTTCCACATTAAAACCCTGTAGATGCAGAGTTAATAAAGAGTATGTTTTTATACTTGACTGTGAAGTGTTCATTGAAATAAAACAAGGGGTTTCAATCAGCGGTCCATGAACTCATGGTGGTCTGCAAAAAACATTGCAGGTGCAATGTATTGTCACTGTAGGAATCTTTTTTTTAACACATTTCCATGTATTACTTATTGTTTGTGAATAAACAAATTCATGCAAATATATAAGATTTTTAGGATTAAACTAGTGCCCCTCTGGTCTATTCACCCCACAACAGTGGTTCTCAGGTTATGTCTTAACTCAGAACACTGGTCCCTGGGTCACAATTAGTTGAAAACTCCTGAAATAGAATGGCAAAGAAAGATGTATTTATTTATTGGTGGTAAACATACTGTAGACACAAAGCCAGAAAACTCAGCCTCATTGTCCAAGTAATCTTATAAAAACAATCAACTCTAATTAGACATACACTGACATTTTTGTATTTACTTGGTTCTGAAAAGTAACTGAAGTTATAGAATAAATGTAGTGGAGTAAAAAGTACAGTATTTGCCTCTAAAATGTAGTGGTCAAGGTATGAAGTAACACAAAATGAAACTACTTGAGTACATGTACTCAGTTCCACCACTGGAAATTTGACCTTCTTTCAGTCAATACACTTGCTCTGAACCACTTCAAACACCTCTAACATGTGCACACACCTCAGCTTTTAACAAATTGTTCAGTTGTTTACAGTTCAACTGACATCTGAACTTTCTACTCTTCAAATTCACCTACTTTCATCTCTTACACTTTTACAGTTCAACTGCTTTCAGTATTTAGATGCCATATCAGTAATTTCAGCTGCTTTTTTGTCAGTAAACTCATTTTATTTCCTTTCATGGCCTAGGCATCGATTGGTGTTTCAGATCTCTTACACTTCAGCTGCTTTCACTGCTTACAAACTACAACTCAACTTCCTACAGTAGCGATTACCCTTCAACTGATTGCACTTCAAATTTAGCCTTTTCTTTTTGGCCATGTTGGTTTTCCTAAGAAGAAACCTTTATCTGCACTGTACAAACCTGACAATTAAAATCAAGAAATTTCCTTTACATATGAATGCAGGCACCTTCTTGAATCACAAAATAGGTTAAACATCTATGACTTCTTTAGGTACCCAGTGCAAGCAAATGCTGTCAATTGGCACACAAACAAATCTCAGAATTTCAGAGCCACCAAGCGGCCTTTTGACAAGTGGCCTAATTTCCACAGGAATCTTTTGGCGCCAGATGTTCCTCTCCACTCTGCCCATCGTCAGAAGTGCCTGAGCGACAGAGGGGCCGCCCATCAAAATGCCATCAGGACCCTACTGGCCACCAGACGGACACATGCCCAGAATGCATCACGTGGGGGCCGTTCAATCCCATTTACCTCTTCCTCCTGTCTGCCACTTCGCTTCGGCTAGTGCACTCATAACAAACACACCAAAGCAGACAGAGCAAAGCATTCTCTGACATTTTTGGTTTGTGCTGACAAAACAACTTAGCAAAAGATGAGTCTCACCCCCTGGTTGGCTTAGTATGAACTGAGTGAGACAGTGGCAGACAGAGGTGTGGGCATGTGAATAAATCGATTAGCAGAGCAGATGACGGATGGGATTTATAGGAGGCCTCGACACACCGGAGAATTAATTTTGCTGGGTGAACATGCCAGGTTCATTTGTCTTGGAAGGAAATTTGGCACTTTCACTGGTCTGGGAACTAGATTAACCAATGGCCCCAGGAGTTTGGGAACAGAACAGCTTTGTTGAGGAACACACCACATTCATGTGACAGACACGTTAACTATAAAAGATTTTGGGAATATATTATATAGATGGTGAAGGAAGCTGGGTGGTGAAAGGTTGGGGTAAGGGGTTCAAAATCAAGATTGGTAGGGGACTGGGGATGGGCTTGATGGAGGCAGGCAAAGAACAGGTTCATGGAACACTGAGCCAAAATTAAGGGAGTATTGATTGATTTTTATTTTTTTTTGGCCACTTTGCAAGAACCAATAAAGACAACTTTGATATATTATTGTAGTAAAAAGTTATGGCCTAGGTGTTAGCCAACAACTACACACCCAGCAAACAATGAAACAATACTGACATTTATTTTGAGTCCTGTTCCTGGCCACTGGAAAAATGGAAGTGAAGTAGTCACTCTCCTTTTAAGCTCTAGTTTCCAGCTTCTGACAAAAATGTTTCTTTTGCTGCTAAATGCTTACAAATATTGATTAATGCAGCTTCAAAAAACAACTTCTGCACAAACATGTTGCTTTTAATTTCTGATTTTCTTTGGATGCTTTTAAAGCCATGCACTGAATAAGTACTAACTCAGACTGCACGGTAGATGTCGAAGCATCTCTGTACTCTCTTCCTCCCACTATCTCAGGTTCTAGTCCCTCATCCTGAACATCCCAGCAGATGATTTATGTAGCAGTGTTACTCTGTGACCTCAAAATCCGCCCCATCCATACTGCACCTGTCACTGCGCCACTGCCTGCGTGCTTACTGAAAACCAAGCCATCCGTGCAAAATGGCAATTTTCCACCTACCCAGAGGGAAAAAAAAGTAAGGATCCAATCTATTCAGAGGAAAACTAGGAAAATTCCATGATATTAAGAGCAGGTGCATGAGGGCTTGGTACTCTGCTAACGAGGGAGCTGAACTGCACGCACTGCTGACCACAACATCTGCCGTTTGTAGGGATGCGGTTTGGTTTTTTTCCTCTGCAGCACAGTTTGCACAGCAAGAGACAGCAGATGATGAAGTGTTTAAGATGGATACAGATGGACGGGACCAGGCCTGGTTCCAGCTAGGGTCACAGAGGCCCCATACTGTGGCATGGTAGCATATGATGCATGAGAACGCAGCCGGAATAGTAGAGTTATGCTTGCCTGGCTGGGCCCAAGGTGATGCCCGGTCTGACCCAGCTCACCATCCCAGGTGGAAACCATAAACAAGCTCATCAGTCCTAAAGAAGTCTAACAAGCTTCTAATTGGCAGCGTTATGACGTCCCAGAAGGTCACAGTGCAGATTCCTGTGCCAGCGGCAGGACAGCCTGCCACTTCCTGCCAACAGCATGTCACATGACTCACTAATGTCCCTCCATAAACAAAGTTGTGCAAGGACAAGTGGAAATTCTTACATATGTAAGAGTTTGGTAGCTTATAGAGGAAAACTACACAGAAAAACAGAGTGGACAGCTCAGGCAGGAAAACCGTTGTGCTACTTTACACAAGACAGCAGGGATTTTCATCGTCTCCTGTAACTTTCCACATTACATAAGGAAACTCAATGACACGTTTGAATGTTACTAGAATACAACAGTCTTAAAGGTTCTCACTGCCAAATGACAGCTTGAGTTTTTGTTTTTAACAATCTACAGTGAAAGAAATAAGAATGTATACATATTCCCCTTCAATTTCTGTGTCTGAACAGGATTTGTTTGAATTTTAGATGAGGACGATAGTCAGCAGGGCTGTTCTGACTATTCACAACAAAACATTTGATGATTTGCTGCCACCTCCTGGTCATGATACATAGGTACAGCTTGGTGAAACGAGCTATCCACAAGAAAAAAAAAACACTTCAATAAATTCTAATACATGATTACAAGTGACTTCTTGTGTTCAAGCTACTCATTCGCACTATTATTGAACTAAGTTTTATTCCCAAATAAACTGTATCACACAAATGTAGAGCGGTAAACATCCTTTATGAGTTTTGCAACCATAAAAGAGTGACTATGTACATGAAAAATGTATTTGCCCTGACAATATAACTTTAGATGAACACAGATTTACACAGAGGACTGCATTTATGATATTAAAAAAATATGTAATGTAAATCATATTTGCAGAGCACAAGAATGAGTGGTGGAGTTTGAAATAATCCTACAAGTCTTGTAAAGCTTACAAATCTAGAAGAACACTCAAAATCTGACTCACCAAAAGGAATAACAGACTGGAACAGGGCTAAAATGAGACAGTTATGCTAAATTGCCACAAGGATTCAGCCTAATGCTACGAGAGTAGCCTAAAATATGAAATAACACATAAAAATGAAGGGGTGGTTGGTACAGCAGTTAACTGAAACTTCTAAAAGTAAACGAGTAAAACAACAATTTTAAAAAACTGTGCATTTTAACCCACATTTAGACATTTGACGGCTAGGTCATGCTGATGTCCCGCACAGTGCCGTGAGGCGATTCTGTCACAAAGAAAAGAGAATGATGAGAATAAAAACTGCAGCAACATGTACACATTTATTCTAGAGAGATGATTAAATATACCTGCAGCAGCCGAATGCTCCTCAGGGCAGGTTCATCCAGCAGTGACAGGTCCACTGAGTCCATCTGACTGGCCAGCAGCTGAATGCTCTGAATCAATGATTTACAAGTGGCTGTTAAATTAGCTTGCCTTACAGGCTAATTTCAGGTCTTATCAGAAGTTGTACACTAAATAAAAGTAGCTCTAAAGTCTCAACATAAATGCAGGACTAACATTTTAAAATTACATTCAAAATTATCCATTTTGTGCCAGTGATTATTAATTTCTTCTCAATCAGCTAAATGAATAAACTGCCTTTTGCCAACATGACTTCTTTAAACATTTTCTGTTCTGTAAATCCAGAACTCTGAGCTCATCCAGCTGCGTACCCACCTCTCCATTGCCGATGGGAACGCTGACAATGACATCCTCGGTGCCCGCTGCAACGGGAGAGCCGTTGACGGAAATGCTGTAGACCCTCTCTTTGTGGCGGGGAACTCTCACAGCAGGGGTCTTAGGAAGCCTGAGGAAAGAGAGCCTCAGTGGTGAATAACACGGTTCCTCCACTGTGGGTAACATGTCCAACTTTGAAAAGAAAACACAAGATTTGAGAAAGTAAAATCACACTATATGCCTCGCAATGGCAGCATTTCAAACTAGCGAGGCAGCAGCTGTGAAAACAAGTCCATAGTGCTTATATAATGTACAACACTTATAAAAGTGTTAGGTCCACTTGCAGATCTGTAAAAGCAAAGAAGCTTCAAAGATCAACCTGACACCTAGTTTAGTAGTTCAGCTATTTGCCCGTTGTGTTTGTAGAAAATCACAATCAGTCCAACAATAAAAAGTAAAATGTACAGGAATGTGTTAGTCAAATGGCCTTGCTGTTAAATACAGCATATAAAATACACAAACACAGACACAGACCCTACATTTATTACACTAACAAGTGTACCAAACAAACTATGCCACAATCGCACATCTTGCACTGTGGTCGCAGCTGTGTACACCGTGTACCATAAGCTTTTACTGAGTAGCAGGCTCATAATCATAATCAAGAGAGCTGCACTATTTCACATACTGACAGAAGAGCTGCAGCTAATGATTATTTTCGGTATGAATTAAAGTGAAAAATTTCATAATTATTCAATCTTTTAATTTGTCTATAAAATACAAGACAAATGTGAAAACCCTTGTTGTAACTGCCTACAGCCCAAGGTGACATCTTGCTTTGTCCAACCCATAGTCCAAAACGCAAACGTTCAATTTTACTGTCATGTACAACAACAAAAGAAAGCATCAAATCTAGAAAAGCTGGAACCAGCAAGAAATTTAGCATGCAGTACATATTATACGCAAACTAAACCAAAACACAGCATATTTTAACATACAATCTGGCATAAAATCTTAACAGGGCTGTAACCGACTAAGGATTTTGTCAGTCACTGTCAGTTTGTTCTTCAGGGTGAATATTTGACTATTCGACTAGAAGAGTCTCAGTCGACTGGCAGGTCTTGTGACTAATGAATTGACTATTGAACTATTAGGGGGCAGCCCTATTGCTTACCTTGGGTCGAAGCGTGGGGTAACAAGGGGAGTAGGGCCCATCATCAAAGATGAGTCCAGCATGTTCCTGGCAGGAGTGACCAAGGGTTTCCTGCTCGATCTGTGTCACAACAAACACGTGTTAGTATCACATTATCATGCTGCCAAACTTGGGGAAAGGAATATCTCACCGTCTGATGGAAGTGTTCTGCTTGCTGACCGACTTTGCTGTTGCTCTTTTTGTTGTAGCTGGGGGCTTTCTTGCAGCTTTCCCCTAAATTAAGAACAAGGATTTAAATGACACAAGGAGCTGCACACAAATTACATTCCACAGAAACCATCCACTCCCCACAGCTCTGAACACTGAGGCTCTCTAACATTCAGCTGTGTTTTGCATCTCTGTCTGTGTGATAGAATGAAAATCAGCCACTACCTTCCTTGCTGTGCTCGGGGGGTATTCATCCTCTGAAATGGATTTGGCTCCCTTTTTTTTCTTGGTGGCTGTGGATTGCAGATAAAGTAAACAGGATGAAGGGACTTCAAAAGTTTACTGATTTTCTAACCCTTAATACATTCTTGACCAGACTGAAAGAATTTGTCATCCAACCCATCCAAACTGGCATCAGTGGTAGAAGCCTGTTGATATACTTGTGTCTGTTGATAAACTTGTGTCACTGAAGAAGACACACACACAAAGTAACTACTTTGATGGTTTTAACATACTTTTCTTGACTGACTTCAGAAGGCCTGCATGGTCCTCAGCTGTAATGCTCTCCACGATAGCAGCTTCCTCTTTTCTCTGTTAACAGACAGATGCAGGTCAAAAAAACTGAACAAATGTTTAATACAGCACAGAGTGTGCGTGCATAAACCACAGAGAATCGAAAAATGATATGAGGAGAAATCACCAACTCACCTTTGCATCATCCACTTCTGGAGACTTTAGCTTGTCTGACTCTACAGACAGAGAGAGGGAAAGCGATAAACCAATACAGCAGTTTCACTGTTCACACAGTATACACAGCACTAGAAGTATGAAAGATCTCAGTGAAACGTATTTGAATTTATAGACATTTATGTAACATTTTTATCAGAACTTTCCAATAGTATTGACCAATAATTCCTGAAAATACTAAAAATCAATCATTAAACATTATCTGGACAAGCAGCATAACACAAATGATGCATTTTCAGGCTACACATGATTTTATACACAAGGCCAGAGCTCTGGAGAATTTCCAGTTGTTGTTCAAATCACATATAAAAACATTTCCTAATTAACATTACTGCCTACTGCAGGCAGGAAAAAAAATGCAAAAGAAAGTTAAGACTGCTAACAACACTTGAAGGTTTGTATTATGAGAGAAACACAGGCTTTTTAATGCCTTTCATCCTTTTAGAATTTAACATCATGAGAAATGTGCAAACATTCTTTCTCATGAAAGAAAATACCAGCAGCAGTTATGATTTAATAAGACACATTGAATATTTCTAAAAGGTCAATGACATAAAATGCCAAAGGCACCCCTGTGGTATAATTTTAACAAGGCTTAAGACAATGTTCATAGAATCATAGTAGTTCGAGTTTGAAGAGACTAAAGTGAGAGTTTGTGGCCACTTACTGCAATGCTCCAACCAGGGCATCTGCCTAACAGCTGTGGGCAACTTGATTAGTGCCATGTTGTAGCTGCTGTCAACATCCTTCAACAGCTGGTCGATCTTTGCTTTAAGCTGTTCAACTCTGGTCTTCACTGAGAAAACACATTGTTGTTGATGAGAATGAAGTTATAGATTACACCACCCGTAGTTTATAACAGTACAAACCGGCTCAGCACTGACAAATCACAACCTTATAAGTGGACCAAAAAGGGAGAATAGCTTACTCAGTCATGTTATTTAAGTTTCCCTTAACTACAGGACAAGAATCTTCAGTGTCATGAAAACAGTGTTTCTTCCATAAGTACAATATATTCACCTTCTAAATCGAAATCGTCCAGAAAAGCCTCGAGCTTCGCCGATTTAGGGTTGTTTTTACGTTGCTTGGTGGTTCTTTTCCTGGGAGCCATATCTGTGTGGATAGTCAGCGAAAATGAAATCTATTTATTAACAACACGATATAGTAATACGACAAGGTTTTGCATTTTACATAAATCTAGGGTAAAACCGCCCTGACCTTGAAAAACAAAGTGCCCACATAGCTAGCAAGGTAACGTTAGCAAGCTAACAGTTAATGCTAATGGCAATGTTTTGCTGTTTCATTAGCAAAATCACATGCTGCTCCCGCAAAATGGCTAACTTCCTTCACTGTCAGTTTCATTCACACGCATAAACATTTAACAAAACACACTTAATTATTAGTTCTTACTACGATTAAACATGTTTTATAAGCAACAATTTACCAAATTATATTTTCTTCCCAGGGCTCTGAACTGTCCTTCCTTTCACAAAGCCGTTTTCAAATCTACGCGCGAGGAGGTGCTAACACTCTAAACCAACCAATTAGGGCGCACGTTTTCTTACGTCACGTTAAAATTGTTCTCGGCCTATCATAGCGCCAAACGTCGTGTTTACATCAGGAGGACGGAAGTGGTGTTCAAGCAAGATGGTAGAAATGTGATGATATCCACATGTTAAAGGCTTACAGAAAATGTATTAAAGAAGATCGTTTATGCAAAACAGACGTAAAGTGTTTAGATACATGGGTCAATTTATAGCACAGGCGCGGTTTTGATTGTGTGGCGAACTATCCATTGTGTCTATAGTCGGCACCTGTAATGTCCAAACCTGTACTAACATCACTTCATCAAGCGCTGAGAAAAAGCTTCCAGTGTCTGGAAAACAACCAGAAGGTATGGGAGAATGTCTTGGCGGAATGCAGTCCTCTGATGGTGTCTCTCGGGAATCTGGCAGAGCAGTCCACAGCGCTGTCCAACGTCCAGATCTCCAACACACCGCTCAGAGCCTTTCCTGATCTGGAGGAGCGGCTACGTTTCAAGCTCTTGCAAGCAACGGATACAGTATTGAACAAACTCAGTGAGAAGATGTAAGTATCTGGGTGTAACACAAATTATGGGCAGGTGTTATGGACCCCTAAATGAGATCAAAACGTGGCTGATGGTGTGACTGATTTGTTTTTTTGTAAAATCAAATCAGACATTTTGTGGTATGGGCTTGCTCTTCTCCTTTCATATGCCACATCAAAGTAATGTCACTGATGTTTCACTAACATCACTTCCCACTGATATGTGACAATAAAGCAAGAATGGTATCTGTGAATGCCAACGAAAATTGATATCTACCAGTGGAACAGGAAATCACAGAACGATAATGATCACCAGTGGCACATGGCAGAGAAAAGCTGTATATGCCAGTTTTAAGTTCTGTGTGTCAGTAAAACATGAGTGACATATCGCTTATAGAGTGGCATGCCTCTTTCCTTCAGGTCTTCTCTCCAGTCTGTTCGAGACGCCATCAGTAACCAGGTCTCTGCAGTCTTCCAGCTGTACGAGCAAAGCACAGACAGTCTGGATCTGCTCACTGTAACTGAGCGTTCAGCCATTGCCCCGTCAGTCGCTGACATGCTGGAGTGGCTGCAGGACGCCGAACGACACTATCGCCAACAGTATCTTTTCTGTTCACGCTTATATTTGGTTGGGTTTGCGTTATGTTCAGGGTCCTTTTTTCCTCAACTCAGGTGTCTAGATTTCTGAGGAGGAAAACTCTGCTTCAGACACTGAGAGCAGACAATCTCTCACTTCTGGAATCTGCTCCAAAGAGATGGAAATCTTTGGAGTCTCCCAGTGCAGAGGACAACATCACAGGTAAACCATCCCTGTAAGAGGTTGATTATGTTATTGTAATGTTGATGAAACAAATAATCTCACATTTTAAATTTAAATTTGCTTTTTACCAAAACGTTATTGTGGTATCTTTGTTTTAATGCAAATGATTCTGTTTTGTAAAGTGCTGTGCATATCATTATATTTGACTAAAGCTATATGTTGGAGCCTTTTAAGCTTTTTTAAAAACAAATTTTTTAAATTATGGTGATAAAGATTTGTAGGCTAACTAATCATTTCTCTGTTCACTTTCTCAGATACACTTTGCAAAGTGTCGTTTTTTATGGAATCCCCGTGAAGAGAAATGACTGATTTCTGACTTCCATCTCCATCAAAAGGCTGGAGGAGACTAATGGGATTGTTGAAGGAATGGGAATATGTGTATATGCATACATGCATAGTTGTAAAAAGACTGGATTTTTATTTAGTCATAAGGGCTGGAAGAAGATGCATTTTTTTCCTGTAAAAAGCACATTATTTCATAGTACCCCATTTCCAAAAAAGTTAGGATTCTGTGTAAATTGGAAATGTGGTTGTACTTGAATGTCACTGTGGTCTGGGATGGTCAGAACAACCAGCACACACATGGATATAAACAGTTGCAAAGTATAGTTTGTGCACTTTATCAAACATGTTTTATTTCACACTTTTGATGTAGGTGCATTGAGTCAAGGCTTTCTGTGACAAATCGAGAGGTAATGACCATCAAAGAATAGCTGCAAAGAGATCACTGCAATCTTCCATCATAAAAACCAACAGTCATACTTTTGTGAACAGTGTTAAATTCACGATATAGATGATGGGCTTTCTTCAGGCACTTACTGTAAATCACGGCAGTAAAAGTCAAAATTCAAACAAACATGAATGTTTTTAAGTAATGCAGACAGCTCTAACATTACGAAGATATGCAAAATATAAGTTGAATATAGTAATATATAGATCTCAACTTGTAGCTTAAAATTCAGACCCTTAAAATTTGAGACTGTAAATTTAGAAAATAACCTGTCTTCCCCCCTCCCTCCTCCTGCTGGTGTTCTTTCATACATACTCCTTCAATGGTAGACTATTAGATGTGATAGGTTTTGGGGGATCTGGTGCTGAAGCGGGTGAATTAGCAAAGCTCCGGCCTATGTAACCCCTGCGGTATCTGCCGCTCCTCTCCATGAGAGGGCAGGTGCTGCTTAGAACAGCTCCACTGATCATAAGAATGACTGCAGCTGCCCAACCCAGATAAATAGCCTGACCCAGCTCTCGCTTGTGCATCACAGGCACGTTGGGGTTGTAGAAATCCTGGATGACAGTGTTAGCAGTCCAGGAAACTGGAATCAGCACACACAAGCCTGTAAGAATGAAGAGAACCCCTCCAGAGAATGCGATTCCAGCCTTGGCCCTGCGGTCATCCCCAGCGCAGGTGGTGCACTTCATACCACAGCAGGACACAGTGCAGGAGAGCCAGCCCATGAAGATGGCCAAACACATGAGGGCGCGGGCAGCCTGGATGTCTGGAGGCAAGGCCAGCATGGAGTCGTATGTCTTACACTGCATGTGACCTGTGGTCTGGTAGATGCAATTCATCCAGATGCCTTCCCACTTGATCTCTGAAGTCAGGATGTTGCTGCCAATGAAGGCTGAAACCTTCCATTGAGGCAAAGCCGTGACGGCAATCGCCATGATCCAGCCGGTCACCGCGCACGTGAAACTGATCAGCTGCATGCCAGTGTTCACCATGATGGCAACACGTCTTTACACGTACAGCTTCTTCTGAATTTCTCTTACTACTACTTTGTTGAGACTTTTTTGTTATTATTCTTTTGGTCTTTCAGAGTCTACTACTTTGGTGTGCTTGTCTCGTCTTGCTTAGCCAATCTTCTTAAGGTCTTTGCACCAATATCACTTTGTTAGCAGCCGTTTTCATCTCTTTCTTTTTCTCTTCAACATCTGCTCATTGTTTTCATTTCCACGTGTCAGTTCACTGGATCATCCAGAAGTAATTGCCCGCTTTCTCTCGACAGTTACCTGCCTTTACAAAGGATCAGAGACTTGCACACTTTCTCCTCCTCTTCATTCCTGGGTTTGAGTCGATACATTATTGAGTAGCTGATAGCTGTGCAGCCACCTGTGGCAGCCAACAGAAGCAGGATCAATCAGGGTTCACGGCCCAGGGCCTTGTAGATGAAATGGAGCCCAGCCAGGCTTTTTTGTGTGTGTGGGGAATTGGTTTTTTGCCTTCAACTGTGGTTCAGACCCGATTGCTGTGTTGCCATGTATTTCAGGTCACTCTCCTGGTTTGGTGTAGCCTTACCTAGATGGATCAGACTGATATAACTTGATACTTTGCTTCAATGCCACTGATGTTGCTCCAAGCGTATCCTGTCACAGAAAGGTTGAAAATAGTAATGCTCAATTACACACAATAAAAATCGGAGCGTTTTACCTCTTGGTTGACCGAAATGTCAGAAATATTTAGTGCTCGCAGAACAAATGTCCACTAGAGATGAACAATCAGCAGGATAAAAGACAATCAGAAGATGTTATTCCAGTCAGGTTTTTCCAAGAATCCACATAAAACCTCACAGCCGACAGGTTTTTAATTTGCGTCTCAATTTCAAATAAGGAAAACAGCCAGTAATTCCTGTCGGCAGACACTGCTAAGATTGCCAGCTGAAGTGTCTCCTTGCTGACAATAAACAACGCCAGAGCACAAAACCTCGATGAGGCCACTTCAGGCTTCAGTTGCTGCTCAGTTTCATCCTCCCCTCAACCGTTTCCTCTGGTAGCTACACAGCCCAAATGGCTCAGTCCTATTCCAACAAGAGTATAAATAACAAATCAGGGCGACATAGTCAGACTTCTGGGTAAACAGAGCATCACTTCACTGCCTCCCATCTTCGGTACCACAGTTGACAGTGAAACCTGGAAAAGCAAAACTGAACTCCAGAGGAAAGAAAAAAAATCATGCAGGAGGGAGAGGGCAAATGAGGGTGAGACAACAAAAGGAGGGAGGGATGGGATGGAGCGGGGTTCGTAGGTGGATCAGTTAACACAAAGACAACATGGAGGACCCCTACAATGGGGATTACACACTTTGTATTGCTCCATACCACAGTCGCATGTATTTTAAAGGAGCTTTCACAAGAATTAGCTTTCACTTGTCCCTTTTTGTCAAACTCAGCCATGAAAAGGAGAAAAGGAGGGTGGTCAGATTTTTTCTTTTTTTAAATTCTCTAACAATGATTGTGATTGAGAGGGAAAAGGTGCTCACTGGTGTGTTGTAACACAGTTCCATTTGGACAGTTTATAAAACTACCTAGCAGTCTTTTGTGTTTAGTCTTGTTTCATTTCAATTAACAAAACTGTGGATGAACAGACTGAAGGCACGTTTGTAGCACATGATATTGTTAAATAAAATGCTTGAGAAAAAAGCAAACACTCTGGATGCAACACAAGGATCTGACAGCAGGTCTTTGTCTTCATATTCATAAATTTCCCCTTCTACCCAAGAAAACTCTCACTGCATTTACACTGAACCTTAGTGCGCCATGGTACCGATGAATTAAACATCATTCATGGCATCAAGATCTGTGGTTCAGGTTTCCTTTCTTTTGGAGCCTCTGCTCTCCGTGGTAACGGTGGTCATGACAACCAGCCGGGACACAGGAAACTGGCGAGAGGCGATGATACACAAAGGGGGGACATACCAGTAATGCCTGTCCTGTATGAATGGATAAACACATCTATGTGTATGCCTATAGGACAGACCAGCTTCGATATGGGTTTGTGACGAAGTTGCACTACAGTTAATGTTAAAGCCATGCAGCTGTATAGTAGAGAAATATGTTCAATGAAATTAATATTTTGTGGTTATATCACCCCACATAGCAGGTTGAATGAGGTCTGATGGTGTTTGATAACATTTTACACAGAAAAATACATAATTTATGGGCAACATCCCTGATTTAGTGTTTTTGACCTCTTTTTACCAACGACACCGTCATTGCAACACCCACAGCACTGTATCCTTACTGGAATGTTACCAGGAAACGTGGAAAACTGATTGAGAAATCTTTGAAATTTAACTTCTGCTCCTCTCTAATCTTGCATATTTAACATCATTAGCTGCCAGAGTGTGCACATCTTTTATTAAGTAGGAAAAGCACAGAATTTTTCTCCTTACATTTTTCATCCAAAAACATGGCCAAGTGGACTGCCAACAATGATTGCATACAAAGAATAATAGGTGAATACTTGCCTTGCTCTTTTGTCAAGTCGGGTAAGGACTGACCACCCACTAAAGACATTAATATTAAAGGCACCGAGAAAAACCCATTCCTCCTATTTGGCTCTGCCAAGATTGTAAAATGATGCCAAATAGTACTGAAAGTTCAAGTTGCTACTCCGGTTACCAGTTCCAATAGTACATTTTGATATGTTACATGTCAGGGTTCGGCTCTAAGCTACAGAGTACAAGAATGTGCAACACTTGGACAAGTTTTTACTGTAGATGCAGTCGTACCACATCTACAGTAAGAAAACCTGCCAGTTATAAAGTAGCTTGTGAAAAAAAGCATCAGTAAGGTGCTTTGATATCTACATGTCATTCAGCTTTTCTTAGAGGACCATCAAAGCTAGTAAATGATTACGTCAATGGTTTACTGTTCTCAGTTGTCATGTGGTCTCATCTACTTTGGTAAAGAATGCCATCTAGTGACAAAGTGCAGGCACATAAAGGCCTTGTGTCAGCTAGCTCTCTGTAAAGACAGAAAGAGCACTTTTTCCACTAGTTTAACATGCCACCTGTCATCAACTACAAGAACACACCAGATCTATTATAGGCATAAAATACCATTTATTACTTGCACATTAACACAAGAATTCCCTGCAGGCTGAAAAAAAAAATGTAACTGAACAATGTCACATAATAGCAATAACAGCAAGTGAAAGGCCTTATGTTTGGGGGCGCAGTTAGAACAGGTCCCGCCCAATCACAAAAGGTTCCATTCATTCATCGGACAGGAGCGTTCTGATCACGGAACTGGAACATTCCAATTCTGTGATTCTATTGCTATTAGACAATCACACAGCTTCAGACCATTGGCAGAAAAAAGAAAAAAAAAAACCAAAACAAGGGAACATTAAATTAAATTAAAATACACAAACGATGTCAAATTACAAATCTGTTAAGGTATATCAAAGTGAGACAAATTTAAAAATAATTCATGCTCTTTCCATTGGGGCACAGAAAGAATTATGGATTTAAAAAAAAAAAAAGGTTAAAAAGAGGTAATCCTGCTCTGTTGATGCCATGGGGACCTCCTCACAAAAAGGAAGTGCATTTGTGAGGGGTCAGCAGATGCTACAGAGACAGGAGAGCCCCCACCAAGAGGCTTGGCCACGGGTACAAGGAGACAAAACTCATCACAGTAACCTGGCAGAGAAGAGAAGGGTTCCGGTCTTTGACGTGCCCTCGTTTGAAGAAAGTACCTCGTTTGAATTTGAAGATGACGCAAAGAACTGGTCCCCCTCCCCTCAGAAAACAGCTTGTACCTCCCAAATTACTGACATTTGTGTAGGAATCTCTAAAATACATCTTAGAGGGACTGGACAAATATTGCTAGCCTAAAACAGTCCCACTAAACTGAATAAACATTTAACCAAAAAAGTGTTTATATTTTTTTCGTTTCTCATAAATACAATTGCAAGAATATTTTTTTTTCTTAAAAATGGACAATCTTGCATGCAGGCGAGCAAAGTCTACATTTTAAACAAAATTCTCTAAAGCCTACATAACTATTCCACCAAATGCACATTCCCACTGATTGATACAAGCAAATCAAACAAAATAAAAGTTCAGAGACAATAGCGAGAGCAGACCAACAACTACAATGAGTAGAATTATAGCTTTGTCTTTCCACATTTGAAAATTGGAACTGTGTTAATATTGCTTTGCAATGTCATGATACAAACAGGAAGTGATCATTTATCTGACTAGACTTTACTGGTGAAGCACTGATATTTCAAACAAATTAATCCACTTTAGAGATGAATATCAATCTCATCCCCTTGGCTAGTCCACGATTTAAAAAAAAAATTCATCGGCTGCCTTTAAACTAAGAGTAAAATTTATTGCATGCAATGCCTGGACAACACCCTCCCAATTCCACCTGTGATCCTCACTTCCTGCTTCTCTGTTCGTGGCCAATGCCAACGCCCACATCAAGCAGGTGCTCAAACTCATTCATAATAAACCTGCTGCTTTATGGGTGGTTTATTACAAAAAGGTTTTCAAGTGAGCTGTCCTCCTCGATGAGGCGTGTACGTCGACTGTTTCTCCAAACCCTCCATCCTACACGTTTATCCAATCACACCAGCACCACTTACAATTTGCTAAGTGTCTGAAGGGGAGTCCAAGGGCAGTGCTTATGCTTATTGTCAATTTGTTTAATCCAGTGTTAAAAATGCATAAAAATATGAAACAAACACCATTAAATAGTAGAGACTTTAAGATGGGTATACTTCAAATACACAGTAATAGAAGCCATTATTAAAAAGTCTAAAATTTCAACACTGCCTACTGCAAACCACTTTTTATCAAATCCCTTAATCTAGGTTCACTCTGATTACAATCCCTGATTGTCTCCATCTGATCAAGACTAACAGATACCAGCTGAGCAATACTGGTAACCAGTCAGACTGCTACACAATACCGCCAATCACCTCAGAACCTACAGAGGAAGCATGGACTCATCATTCCCTGGGCCTACTTCTTCTCACCATTTGCCAGAATGCTACAAAAAATGTCCAACTCAAATCTCTAACCCTTTAACCTGTAGCTCAACAACTGAAGTCTATTCCTGAAGTCACACTAGGAACTATATAACCGGCTTTGCTGCCAACCTTAAAATTTCATCACAATAGTAACAACATTGACAACAACAATAACAACAACATCAATGGCGAACTACTAATTCCAAACAACAGTTTCCACAAAACATCTTATATTAAACTTTTACAAATCTGCTTTTTGATTCTTATGTATAAATGCATAAAGGTAAGAGAGATCAAGAGAGTGCCCTCTGATGCTTGCCTAGCGTCCCGGGTCAGTGCAATGAATTGGCCAGTATTAATTAGCAAAGGAGACCTTAAAAGTTAAAAAAATAAAAAGATTCCGGCCCTTGAAACTACTTAAAAAAAAAAAAAAAAAAAAAAAAAAAAGAAAAGCAACGTCCTGCAGTGTCATCAGGTCCAAAAAAAAATCAGATCCCACTTTTCACACAAAAACAAGGTTGATAAGACCATACTCTGTGTTTTAATGCCTTCAGCCATTCAACAGGTCCCAATGCTGAGCCAGTCACAGGCCAGACCACGGTCACTACTGCTACACAGACCTGGCTTCACTTACTACTTGAACTGGTTCAAGTTTCTTATTCCTTTCCTTTTCTTTTTTTTTCTGAGGCACCCAGGAGACTCCCAAAGGTGCCAATCCCACCAACCCTGCACTAGCAGCAGACTCGCACACGTTCAAAAATGTAACTCAAAACATTTCAATTAATAAGTGACCCAGGACTGCTATGAATACCCCCACCAGCCTCTATGAGGCCTGTAAGTCATATGTCTCAAAGTTGCTCTATAGATGTAAATATATGCTTATATGTACTGTATGTGTGAATATAAAAACAACAAATCTGAGGCATTTACAGCAGTTCTCCTTGATTTCCCTTTACAATTCAGTGACCTGCCATGAAACACACGCACATACACACACTCATACAACAGCACATGTATATACAGAGATACTCACTCTCACTCTCACACACACACACACACACACACACACACACACACACACACACACACACACACACACACACACACACTTCGCTAAGATGTGAGGAAAGTAGTAATGTATGGACACACAGGTCACATCGCTTGTAAAAGATTGTAAAGGAGAAGATTAAAACACGTTCATAAAAAGGAAGGGCTTTGAGGTAAAAGTAGATAAGAGTCCTGCTTAGCTGGGAGAGCTAAAGAGCTGCGCTGACACAGACTGTGCCAATCCACTCCCTCGCTCAGTGTATCTTAAACACAAGAGTGCAGACATTCAAACAGAAAAAACAAAAACAAACTCAAAATAATGGCTCAACTTGTATGTGTGTGGTTTGTTTTTGTTTTTTCAAGTTTTTTTTTCTTTTGTGCACTGAGAACCATCAGGGTTCACAGTGGCGGATCGCTGGTTAGGAAGGTGGCTCGACTGGGAACGCTGGTTGGAGATTGTTCCATAAAAAAGAACCTGCTGGACATCCGAGTTACCGCAGACTCTCCTGTCCAAGAGCCCCTTTGGTGCAGATTCAGAAATGTAGAGTGAGAACGAGGAGAAAGACTACAAGGAGGCAGAGAGACACTGAAGAGGAGAAACTGGTAAATAGATAAAAAGACAGAAAGAAAGGGAATCCATAGGTTGACTGGCTGATGTGCTTGCTAGCTCAGGCAAAGTACATGGTGTGCTGGGTATCATAGTGGATCTGAACTGCCTTGGCCAATGCTTGTGGGTCCCGGCCGTTACTCTGGCCCGACACATGGCTGCCTTCAGCACTGTGAGAGAAATAGAAGCAGGATTTACTTCAACTCTGTCAGTAATATTACAACAAAATACACGGTAGAGATGAAAATAAAAATGAGTTGTGCTGGTATATACCGTAGGTGGTTTCTCACCTCTGAAAACCAATCTAGCTAACTCTCTCTTCTACATTGATTAACTTTCACTTTTTAAATCAACACAATTGTTTAAATTAATGGGAGAAAAACTGGTATGCTTTAAGATGCATTTAAAAGTTTAATCTTTGATCTATTATCTGACCAATTAAGGTGAAACTGCCAAAAAAGTTCTAACAAAACTCCAAATCAATAGGAGGCTAGTGCATCATAAATAACCAGTTCAGAAGGGGCATCCAAGATAAAATGATAAAGCCACATTTCCTAAGGTCACAAAAACTCTACAGAGCACAATGTGATTTGATGACACATGGCTGAAACAGTCAAACGCAGGAGTGTGTTCGATCCAGGCTACTCGTGTCAGCACTGCGGCTTTGCACATTTTAACAACCAGCTGCTGAAGTACTTTTTAACGCCATCATATATTACTAAGAAGTACTATCTCAGCAGGCTTGGTCCAACACAGCAAACCTAAATCTGAACCTATTACCTTCCAACAAATAATCGGGAATGCCGCACCTGTCATGGTCTTTGTCCACCAGGTGGTAGCGGGCTCGAAAAGCCACTAGCCTGGCGTAATAGGCTGGTGCTGGAATGGAAACAGAGCGTGTGCAGCGGACATAGGTGTGGCACAGCTGGTAGGTGAGAAGCTGCAGTTCATCCGCTGTGAAACAGTTGTCATCCCACAGGACGTGGTAGTGGGAGGGACGACTGGTTCCCTGAGAGAAAATGGAATGTAACAGTACATGTCAAAAGTGCAATGGCAGTTCCCTTGTAATACCATCTCATTGTCAAAGCTCTTTTGCACAGACGGACCAATTGCACTGCATTTACTTGGTTTCACTAAAAAAAAAAAAAAAAAAAAAAAAATTTTAAAATAAGATCCCCCTGAAATTTTTTTCTTCTCAGATACAGTACATGATAGAATATTGCTTTAATAAACCCTTTTCAAAGAACACACTAGCTGGCTCTGCCTCAAAACTGTGAAGGTCATAAGCAGATGAAATGATTTGGTCTATAAGAGCTCATCCATTGGTTAAGAAGAAGAAGAAGCAGCTTTATTTATTGTCATTGTAACATTGTGACACATACAACAAAATTATGTTTGGAGCCGAGGGCCCCGTGCCGCTGCATGCATGCGCGCCGCCATCACAGGCATCTTGGGGGGTTCAGTGTCTTGCCCAAGGACATTTCGACATGTGGACTGCAGGCACCGACATTCAAACCTCCAAACTTTCGGTTGGGAGACAACTGCTCTACCCACTACCTCCTCTGTCTTAATTTCTCTTAGTACACAAGAATTGATTTTTTTATTAAAGTGCAGCATCAGACTCTTGAGGAGCAAGAAGGCACAGCTATAATGTACAAACACTCCGAGTGTCTATCTACACACTTTGTACAGCTATCTTTGAAATTTAAATACAGCCTTTCATTTAAAGTATTTTACACTGAAAAGATAGACTGTGGTTAGTGCAACAACCAAACCATTTGACGGGTCAGAGAAGCACCCCTGTCACAGCATTTACTGTATTATACTACTACTCATAAGTACTGTGGTACCAACAGAGTAAAATGAAGTACAGGGAAACTAGAATTTGTATTTTATTACATGTAAATCTGACAAATCCCTCCATCATTTCAAATCTGATTTAAGAAACTGGGATGAGCTGCACACAGCATAAAGTTTAATTTGATTTCTTATCAAGTTGAGACGTTTGTATGACCGTCACCAGCAAAAGTCAGGGTGTGAGCTTGTCTCTCACCTGAATCCCAGCATGGCTGCACAGATAGAAGTCAAACTCGGACGGGTGCGTGATGGTGCTGTCCACTGTGGTGCCAGCTGGGACATTACCACTCTTCCCCACCTGCAGGGGGTGAGCAGTCAGATTAGAGTTAAGACTCAAACAACGCAGTGTTTTACAATAAAGTGTCATACATTACAACAGAGTTATCTACTGACCCTCTCAGCTTTATCAGAGCAGAACAGCCGAGTGTGGTGACGTTTCTGGACCACAATGTAGGTAATACCAGGCCTGTAATCCTCCTCCAGACTGATACATGCCTTCCGGATGGCTATCAGCTCCGGCCATGCCACCTGAAAACACACACAGACACACACACACACACTTTTTTTTTTTTAAAAGAAAGAGAGAGATGGAAGGCATCCTGTATAACATTTTTCTCAGGGTGTTGCTGTTTAATTATGAAATAAATAAATCACTGTCATTTTTGTAGCCCTTTTCTAATAGCATTGTCAACCCAAGAACATATGATGAAACATGACACTACAAATACATACTATGAGCAGTGAAAACCTTAAGAAGCTGTGAGGGGCCTTATGAATTTCTGAGGAAATGCATCTACACTCAACACACACAAAGCAAATAGCGGCAGACAAAAGAAATGCAGTTTTCATAAAAATCATAACACAAAAATTAGAAGTTTGCAAAGTGTCATTAAAATGTGGTAAACATCACATGATATGCATTTAATATAGCAAACATTACACCGGACTTTGTGGCGAAAATAAGCTGGAGATGAATCTGAACATAAAATAGTGCCAGCTCTCACCTGTTTCATTTGTCCCTCAGAAACACCACCACGATAGTAGATGATGCGTGTGGGCTTGAAGCGTGTAGACTTGTAGAACTGGATGAGCAACTCACGCACCATGTTCGTCAAGTCTTGGATTACCTCCTGGCTGAACAGCTGCTCCTGGAGAGAGAATAACATCTGGTTTAGAGAAATGAAGAAACGACAGAGGCCTAAAGGTCCATCAGACTCAGAGAAATACGTTCGTAAAACCGGATCCAAATTTGATCCAGAGTATAATTATCTTAAACTGATTTTAATAAGTGCCAAAAGAAAAAGCTAAGCTGTGAGCAGGCTGGTTCATGTCAATGCATTTAAACTTTGAATGGAAGAAATTACTCTTAGTTAATAGCAGAGGTGTCAAGTAACGAAGTACAAATACTTCGTTACCTTACTTAAGTAGACATTTGGGGTATTTATACTTTACTGGAGTAATTATTTTTCAGGCAACTTTGTACTTCTACTCCTTACATTTTCACGCAATTATCTGTACTTTCTACTCCTTACATTTTAAAAAAAGCCTCGTTACTAGTCCGATTTCATTCCGGCTAAATTGCGCCATCAAGGATAATGAATTTGATTGTGATTGGATGAGAAGTATAAACACCATTCCGACACCCTGTTGGTTTATACACAATCCATCCCGCCTGCACACAAATCACAAGATGTCCGTGGTAGAGACGCAGACGAGAATTCAAATGATTGGATGAGAAGTATAAACGTATACCATTCCGACACCCTATTGGTTTGTTTATACGTAATCCATGCCACCTGCACATAAATCTCACAAGATGTCCGTGGTAGAGACGCAAGAGGAAAACTCCGGTGAAATGTCCCACTCCCAACCAAGCACCAGCGAGGAGGTTGGTACTACCAGTCTTCCTGGTTACCAAGTTGGTAGCCAGGAAGACCAGCCAAACCTTATACATCCCAGTCTGCCATGAACTAGATACACCTAAGTAAGTGCTTGTTTTTCTGCCTTTCTGTTAATGAAGTGATTATTAACAATAGATTGTCATAGTTTTATACTTTGAATAATGTAGAACACATATATACACTTTGCCAATATACAGTTCCCATATTTACTATATATGTGATTTGTAGAAACACAATTACAGTTCTAAATTTGTTGTGTCACTGGAGCATCAGGAGTTGTTGCTGGCATAGGAGGAATCACAGCTGTGGGCATCTGCTTTGAAGATTGGGTTTGTAGAACATTTTTGATTTCAGGCAAAAAACAGTGACAGTTAGTTAGGAAAGTCTCTGCTTCCTCAACTTGTTTGGTAACTTTTCCTTTTTGCCATTTTCCTGTATTTTGAAGCTTCATTTTATACTGCTCTACACTCATCATGGCTTGTTTTAAATACCGACCAAACTCACTGGATTTAGGTGCCTCACAGTCACAACTGCCAAACATGCCTCTTTGTTGCATGTCTGTCACCCACTTACTGAGTCTATTTAATTCCCTTTTTTCATTCCCTTTCAGTAATTTCCTTTTCCAGTTCAGACCAGTGTCATACAAGACTGATCCTAAAGTACCATATTTACAATCCTTCCATTGTTCCAGTATGTTTTGTGACATGATGAAAAAGAAAATATATATATACACACATATTTACAAGTTCAGTGAATGGCACAGCGCCCGAGTGGCACATCTGACAGAGAAGCTTCTACACAGAAATTCTGTGCGCTCTACCGTTGAGGGTAACCCAATCCAACCACTCGTTTTAATTCACCAAACTGCTAGTCCAGTGCCCCAGAGACAGAACTACTTGTGAATTTTCAAACTCAAGAGTTTGATACACTACATGTCCACTGAAAAAGTTCTACAAGTAGGAAGCCAACCCACACATATGGAAAATAACAAAGTTATCCCTGTGTCCTTATTGTTTTACATCATAATATCAATTTTCAGGTTTCACCGTGGGAATGGGATTCTCCTTTTTATTAAAACTGTGGCACACCAAATGCACGCTGCGAGTGTCTCTTCGTCAGACAGCCCCCGTCGGCAGCTGCTGATGTTCACTATGAGAGCGTCTCTCCTCTGTAATTCCTCGTCAGTAAATTACAGCATGCTTCCCATATGAATGTCTCTTCGTCAGTAACCCACTGCATATTCTTAAAACGAATATACTGGCAGTAGATTAGTGATGCTCCACAATACTATTTACACTTAACAATTTAGAAGACAACCTTAAAAGGTCATTCATCAAGAATTTTAAGTCTGTAAATGAAGCCAAAACGCAAAGGACTAGGACACTTATTGACTTTCCCTCACGTGAGAAATATGTGCTTGTGAATTGTACATGTAACCAGATTCAATGCAGTAAAACATTAATAAAACTCAAATAGTGAATTACATTTAGCAGAATAATAAATTAAATTTGACAGATCAGATGCCGTCTTCAAGCAGACACTTTGAAATTTAGATTATCCAATGTGTAGAAATTCTCTATGGAATAGAAAAGGTTTTCTGCTTACCTTTTGTTTGATGTGGCCACAAAAGTGTCTGGCTGGAGACTTCTCTGATCCTCTCCGATGGTTCTTCAACCAGATCGTCTGTCGGAGCCAATAGTCAGATCCAGGAATCACGGCACCAAATTTTTAGATTCAACTGGTTCTTTTATCTGAAGACCCCAAGAAGTAACACTCAGGAAACAAGAATCAGCTTTACATAGATTTATTTTCTTCTGGTTAAATGCAGAGTTATTACAGCGCTGGGCTCTAAGAGATGACAAGTCTCCAAGAGCATAGATCATCACAAAACGTTTACATTTATCTTCTTGGCTGGGACTGCCCTGTACATGGGTGGTACAACATACGTCAACATTGTACAGTAGAATGTTCATATAGGCAGTATGCGTGTGTGTGTGTTGTTATTTTTCATTTTCAGGCGTTTCTTTCTAACTGAACATTGACCTACCTACGTTCCCCAACTTAAAAAAAAAAAAAAAAAAAAAAAGCTGCCACCTGTTATGGTTTAGTCCCCCTCACCAGGAGGGTGAGGGAGAACTGGGGTAGGACTCAAGATGGCTGACCCAGGTGCTAGTACAAAAAAGGTGGTTTAATGGAATAAAAACAACATGACAACAAAACAGGGTCCATAATACATACAACAAGGGAAGGGCATTGATGACTAAGGAGACCAGGACGGTAAACACACAAACTAATGACAGGAACTAGGATAGCAGGAGGATGAGAACGGACAGGTGAACAAAAAGAACCAACGTACACAATGTAATCCACAGCACAGCTTGTTTTTCTGCCTTTCTGTTAATGAAGTGATTATTAACAATACATTGTCATAGTTTTTTACTTTGAATAATGCAGAACACATCTATGCACTATGCCAATATACAGTTGCCATTTTTACTATATATGTGATTTGTAGAAACACAATTACAGTTCTAAATTTCTTAGTCTTAGATGACAATATTTTTCCTTTTTACTTATCACTTCCTCCAGTTGAAGGTGCTACATCAAGAAGGCTAAATGTTCCATGTTTTCTTCTTTGTACAGGTTTACTCCAGTGGAACTTGCATTCCTTGCAGAATATGTGAAGACAATTAGCCCAGTTGCAAGGGCACTGGATGTTCTTCAGGGAGAAACCAGTGTGCAGATGGGATGGTTGGTCCCCACCATAACTCTACTAAAGACCAAGCTCCAGCACCTTCACAGCGCCTCCAAGTTCTGTGAACCTTTGATTGCTGCACTTCTTTCAGGCCTTGAAAAACGCTTTGGCGAGATGCTTGCAGATCCAGAGCTGATAGCCGCAGCCATTCTAGTTCCTAAATTTAGGACCTGCTGGACAAGTGATGAAGTTATCCTCAAACTTGGTAAGTGTACAATTTCTAAACTTCCCCTTATGTAATTTCTATGGAGACAGTGAAATGAGGTTGAAATCACATTTAATGACACACACACTATCACACAATTACAATACTGCCATATGGTCTAAATTGCCCTGATTTTTGTTTTTTATTCCACAGGCCTCGACTATATCAGAGGCCACTTGGACTGTCGGGCTGAGTATCACATCACTGAAGGCTCCCAATCATCTGAGGAAGAGGACTTCTTCTCCTCCTTTAAGAAGACCGGCCTTCTTGAAACAGCCCAGCAGTTGGATACGTACCTGGGGTGCCCAGGAGACACAGTAGAGGTACTGAAGTCCTTCCCAGCTGTGTTTCAGCTATCACTTAAGCTTAATCCGGCCCTCCCTGCCTCAGCAGCCTGTGAAAGACTGTTTAGTGTTGCAGGTCTGATCTTCAGGCCAAGAAGGGCAAGCATTGGCTCAAAGAACTTTGAGAATCAGCTGCTTTTGCAGCTTAACAAAGGTTATTGGTAATTCTTTGTTGCATGTTCTGCACTTAACTGATGTAGATCCTGAGTACAAAATGTTTGTTAGATAGATTTGAGCATAGTACATACTATCAGGAATGTATCATCAGGAAGGTATTAGGATTGAGTTATTTATTTTTTAATAAATCACTTGGATTAATCATTCATTTTGACAGCACATGTTTATTGTGTATTGACAACCATACAGTACAAGGGTAATTGTTACTAATCCTGCCCTGGTACACCAATTTTCTCATCCATTGCCCTCACAGATTCCTACAGCTAAGCTTGGATGTACATTTACATTAATGTATAGGTTATTGATGACGTGACTCTGATTTTTGACTTTTGCACCATTAGAATACTTATACGTAACTAACTAGTCATCATATCTTCTGCTCCATGAAACACATGTTAATGCTCAGGAGTACACATATATTCTTTATCTTTAATGTATTTGCATTGTACTAAAATGCATTTATTTTCAATGGGCATATATGTGACTGAAATGGTAGCCTAGTGCATCTTACATTTTTCAATATTAACATTTTAATATAACATTTGTCATTACAGCCTTTAGAAAAAAAAAATTTTTTTTGAGGAGGTGGGGTATGGCACAATATGGTCCGTATGATGTAAGCTTTTGTCCTTAATGGCCACCATTAGAATATTTATGCGTAACTAACTAGTCATCTTATCTTCTGCTCCATGAAACACATGTTAATGCTCAGGAGTACACATATATTCTTTATCTTTAATGTATTTGCATTGTACTAAAATGCATTTATTTTCAATGGGCATATATGTGACTGAAATGGTAGCCTAGTGCATCTTACATTTTTCAATATTAACATTTTAATATAACATTTGTCATTACGGCCTTTAGAAAAAAATTTTTTTGAGGAGGTGGGGTATGGCACAATATGGTCCGTATGACGTAAGCTTTTGGCATTTTCCTTACATTACTTCTACTTTTATACTTTAAGTAGTTTTAAAACCAGTACTTTTATACTTTTACTTGAGTAAAAAGCTTGAGTTGATACTTCAACTTGTACAAAAGTCTAGTATTTATACTTCTACCTGAGTAATGAATGTGAATACTTTTGACACCTCTGGTTAATAGACATTAACAGCTTATTAATAGCTGAAAATGAAAATCCTCTAAATCTAAATGCCACTCTCAGGCTACAATTAACAATTAGTTTTGATTATTCTGCTAATCGTTTCCTTGATTAATCTGCTTTTTATAAAATGTAAGGTAATAAAAGGTAATGTAAGGTCTAATAAAACACTGTAAATAAAACATTACCTTGTTTTTCACCAACAGTGAAAAACCCCAAAATATTAAACTTACATTCCTATGACAGTGAAAGCCTCAGACCCACATGTTACTGAAAAACTGCTTATCAAGTAGTTGCTGACTAATTTCTGTACATCGATTAACCAACTAATCATTTCAGCTTAGTTTCATGTACATACATAGTGAAGTTACCTGGGACATGTCTTGTCGAGATGTCTGGACTCGTACTGTCGCACAGTAGCGGCTGGGGTGGCCATCCATGCTGCCCACCACTGCCGCAATGGACGGCTTCTTCCCATCACCTGCTGGAGGGTGTGTCACATCAGCGCCCAGGAAGATGACCGGCTGCTGGAACACAGATGGCCTGAAGCACGAACAGAAAAACTCTGGTGTTACATATTTATTCCTCACTATTCTCAAAACAAAATATGTGCCAAGAACAGCACAGCAAACTTTATAGGTTATTACCTCAACTTTAATTCCTCTTTACCACATAATTCTGATCCAGCAGACTATGTGTATTCAGAAAGCATCCAATCAAACCAGAACATTCAGTCAAGAAGCATCCCACACTCCCAGGTGGACTGCAAACAAAACAAAAAGACAACATGCTGACCGTTGATGAGGCACCAGGACGTTGTTGATGCCTCCCAGCTTGGCGTTGATCTTGAGGCAGAGGTTGGAGAGGGTTTGTGGGGACGTCTTCACCACGTTCTTCACCTGCACACACTGAGTGGCCATGCCGAGGAGGGTGTCACCTACCCGCTTCACTTCAGCTATAGAAGAGAGAAACAGACATGATCAAGATGATCACAGCTTCAGCTTCTGTCCTTTAAAAACTAATATAAATAGAAATGTATTCAAAAATAAAACACTGGATCCCCATGTGACCCTCTTTTTTTGTTCCATCCAAATGCTTTTGCTTTTTCCTTATTGACTGAAACACAAAATTATTTGTTTTCTTACCATAGACCGGTGTTTTGCCAGGCAGGATGACGACAATCAGCTGCAGACCTACATAAGACATTTTGAGGTGTTTGAACATAGGCTCCACACTGTCAGCTCCTTGGGCGTATTTACAGAAACATGGCTGGCCCTGAATAGGCATGCCAGCATCCTTGGAGATCTTTCGCAGTTGGTCAGTGAAACTCCTATGGAAAAGCATTATATGTAGTCACGTGCAGACAAGTGGTAAACATGTTAATTTAAATACAAGCTAACCAACCATGCACTTCTGAGAGGATCTACATACTCCGTCTTTGGTTTTTATAGTGATTCCTTATATACTTCTAGTTATCAAGTAAAAATGTATCATAACATTCTGTGTTTTAGTTAGGCATATTCACATGTTAACATTTACTACCATGCAAAGTTAAACAGTGGACTTGAACCTGATGGGAATGTCATTCATTTTCAAGGTATTTTGTGTTAACGAATATCAAACAAACTGCATTGTAATGTAATCATCTGACACACTTCTCTCTGAAACACAATTGTCAACTTCCTGGTGGTGCAAGAGGAAACGTCTGGACAGCACCATTAAGATACGGGCATAGTTCCCAGATACTGTATCGAGATCTCAGTCTATCCATTAGCTAGTGGGATATTTGAGTGTGGACCAAGACCACTGCCCACACAGAGTGTGTTATTAGCGTAGCTAAACATAAACACCATGTAAGGCTCATGACTTACTTGAGCAGGTCCTCCCGGCACTGTTTCTGTGGGGCAAAGCAGGCCACAGCCCAGACCTTGATCTCGATGCCAGCGTAGAACTGCTTCCCTCTCATGTCCCACACGCCCTGGTTGGGCGTGGCCACCGTTTTATTCTGTGGAGAGAGTCCCTACCCTCTTAGTCAACTCCCCAATTGGATGAGCCAATACAAAAGGCACTCCAGCCCAACCCACACTTTGAATTTCTTTACATACGCGC